ACCGACCACACTCATAGAAGATACACAACGGTGATTACATTGTTTGACGTGTGACGTAGACAAATGGATGGAAAAAAAATAATAAACAGTTTGCATGGAAACAACAGCAATGACATCAATAACAACAACAAAAATAACAATAATAATAATAATATTTACAATAATATTCATAACAACAACAATAACAATAATGTTATAACAATGGCAACAAAAGCGAAACTAATGAAGATAAGCACAACTCCATTAACTACGGATGTTTATCCATTATGTCATTAGCGAAAATGACTTACTGTTAATAGTAATACATAAATTAGAAGACTAAATTTATTATTATAATCACTGTTATAATCATGTTATAATCACATTAACTACGGATGTTTATCCATTATGTCATAAGCGAAAATGACTTACTGTTAATAGTAATACATAAATTAGAAGACTAAATTTATTATTATAATCACTGTTATTATTATTATTAATGTCGCAATGTAGTTGCTGAACGATTCGGACCGCAAACACTTCAGTTCATCATTGCCATGTGCTCTTAAATAATTGCGTGATTTGATCCGCAAAGATTCGGCATAGTGTTTGAGAGACCTAATGTTCAAGCCTCACATTTTGTAGGGGAGGGACAGGCATTCCGCCACGCAATTGCTGATTGGCAGCGATAGCCATGATCTTACCGACTCAACAATGAGAGAGTTAAGGCAGTTGCTTATTCAGGTCAAGGAAAAGTTGTATGTCCGCAACTCAAATGCCAATCGCGACGGTAAACATGTAAACAAACCAATAAAAATGTATTATCCAACTGCAACTCAGCATCGGCATTGGGTAGATACACAACAAGACACAACAAAATTTCAGCAATAATCCTCGACAAGTTGAAATCATGTGCCAACCCAGACGTCTCCATTTTGGTTGATCTTGAGAGAGGCGATTTTCAACCACCATCACGCTTATTCAAGACATTGCAACCAGATATCGCATTGCTACGCGGCGAAGCGTTGGAAATCCTGGAGTTGACAGTCTGCCATGAGACTAACTTCTCCAACTCTAAAATCTACAAACAATGAAAATACTCTAATAACTTAAAAAATAACTTGAACGACAACTTAAAACATTTAAAAATGACAATAAATGTATTTGAAATATCTACTTTAGGTCTCTATACATTTAATCTTTCATTAATAAATATTATTTGGACTATTTATTTTTGTAATAACCTTATCAACTCTGCCAAATCATCGTCATACGCTATCTATTGCGACATAAATGTAAAATGAATCAATTTTAAAACTAATTAACTCTGGTCGTACTCTCTCGATTCGAATGATGAGCTTCTCAGATTAATACTCTATTTATAGCATTTGACACTTTATTTTTTTTCTTTATTTTATTTTATTTGTACTGTCATTTTTATTGTTTTTTAATAACATTAATAAACAATAAAAACCTTGCGATAGGCTAGAAGCCATGTTGCACGAGGTGGTAGATTGGATGCAACAGTTTAGTGGAAGCTGGAAATTCTCAGACTCCTCATCCAAACTCAAATAACCTTTGAACTCCGTACCTGCAATATTTTACCGACCTGGACAGAGAACACTCTAAACCATCTGAAACAGGTTATCATTACGGAAAAGCAGCTAGCTGTTCGCTGAGGTTATTTCGTTTTTATATAAAATGGTGGTCTCAATATAAAATTGTTGAAGCTACGTGAATACCTCAAACGCCAGCAGAGAAATAAGATCTCATTGGGGGGAATCTAGCAATGTCTGCAAAAAATTGACAGTTATATTCCTGAAAACAATGAAATAAAACCGTCACTAAACGTCCTCAGACAACAACAACTCGAAGCGGTTTTCAGCCATCCTTAGTTGATGCTATGCCAAGGTACCCTTTGAGAGTTCATAATAGAGCACATTCAGGGCTTCGAGATTTCGCGGTGGTCCAGGTCAACAGTGAATCTATCAGAGGTCCTTTTTAAATTCACTAGAAAACACTTCATCCAGCAACTATCCACAAATTCCAACCTATTCAGATGGGGCAAATCGACCAATGAAGTACAGACAATCTTTACAGAATTGTCAACCATTGCATTATGCCCGCTTTTTAGTAGAAACGAACAAGAAAAATAAACAAGTTTTATCTAATTGTGGCTCAACCTTAGCACTGAGCAGATATTTAAATCGCCCGCCACGACAAAATTTTTGCAAAAATTTTGGATAATATTATGACATTTTCGCGGATTCAGAAAAAGAATCAGTATGTCTGATATCTGATTTGTTCAGTTCTCTGAGGATCGACATTGTCGTCAACAACAGGAGTGCGATGGAAGTACACGAACTGACCGGTTGCCATGAGTCGAACTTTATGAGCTCAAAGCAATGTAAATTGGATAAATAAAAAAATAATTTAAAAAACAATCTTATAAACGATTTTAGACTTTTCACTATTTTAATTAACACTTTTGAAATAAAACATTTAAAATCTCACCAATAGGTTTATCATAATCCTTTTAACTCATCTTCGATCGGTATAAAATGGACTTTTTAATAGTCTTATATCGTGCTGTGGTGGGCGTAGCGCACAGTGATTGACACAATGTTAAATGTTATTGATTTTTAATATTCTTTCATATTCATCATCAGTTTTAGTATTATTATTATTTCATTACTATTATTACTATAATTGTTATTGTTTTTTATTATTTTTATCATTATTTTAATATTAATAATAATAATTATTATTATTATTAATATCGTTGCGGTTGTTATTGTTGAGATTAGGTATGGCCGCAATTAAAAATAAAAAAAAAAAAAAAAAAAAATTTATTTTCGTTATTATTATTGTAACAAATATAATAATAATTATTAAAATAATTATAACCATAATATTAAATAGTTTAAATTATAATAAAAATATTTTTTTAAACTAACTCAAAAAAATAATGAGCGATATAACAATGGAAGCAATTAAGGAAGAGAGCTTTATAATGACGACGATCATTCTGCTCATTTATCTCCACATAATTTATGAACAGTTTCATTTCTATGTTCCTTCTTTATTGAAACGTAACTATAGAAGTAGTCGTACAACAATTATTGGTAGTAGTGGAAGCAGCTTTAGCGGCAGCAGTAGTAGTAGTAGTAGTAGAAGTAGTAGTAGTAGTAGTAGTAGTAGTAGTAGTAGTAGCAGCAATAGTTGTAAATTCATACCAAGAAGATTTAGAATTGGAAAAATTAAGAAAAAGATGAGTTGCTTTAAATTGCTACAATTAACCATTAATATTTAATAAAACTCCTTTGTTAACATGCTTTACATGTTTCAAATATATTGTTCGGAAAAAAATTGTTCTTTACATATTACATCAGACACACACATATACACATACACGCACGCACGCATACACAAGTTATTGTAATCACAAACAGGAGAAGCTCATACAATCACCGATACAATAAAAAGTTATTTAATCAACCCAAAGATACGTTTCAAATAGCAACTGGGAAGGGAATAACAAATTCCTCCTAGGTCAAATGAATGAAGTCTACCACTGAATGTTTTAAATCTATTAGTTGTTTAACATTGCGGTGCTTAACTGTTCCTCAAACAGACTTCCACACACACACACACACACCACACACACACACACACACACACACACACTACACACACACACACACATACACACACACAGACAATCATACTTCTTGCTCATACAAGTTGACTGACTGACTGACACCAATCATTTCTGGATAAATTTTCCTTTTTAGAAATTTTTTGAAACTTTTAAGCAGCCAATTTGCCAATATTCTCTTCAAAACAATCAAAGTTTCGATGATGGATGAAGACATGAAGAACATAATAAAGGATATATAGATAATAAATATGTAACAATGTAAATGGTTCTGCGTATGTCAGAGCTGCAATAATGAAGACTAATGAAAAAAAAAGTAGCAATTTGAATTTGAGTTACATTTAGGCAAATGCTACACTCTAGCAAAAAACATGTGAATCTTGAGGAAAGTTTGATACATTACAGATACATAACGGATACACTATGAATACATTACAGATACATAACGGATACACTATGAATACATTACAGATACATAACGGATACACTATGAATACATTACAGATACATAACGGATACACTATGAATACATTATAGATACATTTTGTCACATAATCTTTTTTCAAATTCTTATTGAAAGCTTCACAAGTCCGGGGTGAAGAACGAATTTCAGGATCTCTCTCGTGCCCTGACCGGCTGATTTGCAAGCAACAATGCGCTAGTGTCCGTCTGAAAAAAGTTTACAGAAAATAATATAATAATAATTTTATTATTTTCACTACTTACACCTCTTCTATTTCTAATATCATTAACACTTTAGGCTTAATCTTTCATCAATACGATTATGGCACATGTCTAATAGGCAAAATTCCCACCTCTAATCTACATCCCAACTTGACAACTTAAGTAAATGTACAAGTCATAAATGATTAGCATTTATTAAACTTTCTTTAGCTAAAGCCCCACAAATCTGAAGTAATGTTTCTTGGTACTCCGCAACAGCTTATCAAACGTTTGCCCCATCACACGTTCTGTTGGCTGATTCTTCTCCCTCCTCAACATCTATACTAAAATTTTTACGCTTAACTTGTGACTCTTCTCTATCTTTTAAACCTCATGTCTTAGCTTTGATCAAATCTTGTAACTATTATACGTGGACTATTCGTCATATTCATAAATTTCTCACTTGAAGATATTGCTTCTCCTCTGGCTCGATGTCTCGTACTATCACGTCTAGATTATTGTAATTCTCTTCTCTGCGGTCTACCTTCCTACCTTTTAACTTCAAAGAGCTCAAAATATAGTGGCAAATGTTCTTTTAATTATCAGTAATTTATTTTCCAGCACAGATTCATTCATTCTTCTACATTGGTTACCAGTTCGTCAATGCATTATATTTAAACTCGCCGTCCTCACGTACAAGTTACTCGTCCTCAACCATCGTATCTTCATCAACTTTTATTGCGTTGTTCATCAACTCGTCAACATCGTTCGTCTTCATATACTCAGTTTCATCAACCTGTCGGCATTTCATCAGTTGTCAACAAATGTTTTACGTACAGCTCTCCTTCCATGTGGAATGGTTTGCCTGCCATCATTCGTCAACAGCCAACCACCCAACTTTTAAGGAAACGATTAAAGAAATTTTTGTTCATCAAGGTCTGCGGAAACGTCAAAGTTCATTGTTTATTCAAGTGCCTCTGAAGCTATGCATGGGACGCGATATAAATTAATAATAACAACAACAACAACAAAAACAAAAACAACAACAACAACAATAATAATAATAATAATAATAATATAATAATAATAATGTAAGCTTTGGGAGCTTTTATTGCAGGAACTAAACGACGTAAAAAGAAATATCGATACAGTTGTCGTTAAAAATCCAACTGTTCGTCGTCCATGACAAGTGACGTATTAAAGTGGCGTAATAAAGTTTTTCTGTCGCGATAGATGGCGAATTATTGTTGTATGCTTTTGATTGCTTTAGCTGCCTTTTCAACCGCCTAATTGAGCTGTCTATTCTCACATTGTTTGTCGTTTGAGTTTTAAGTAATTGTTGTTTTTTGCAAAATATGAGTAGATTCTATGCTGAAAGCGAGTGGCAAAATTGGATTTTTGCAGCTTAGCGAGCTGATCGCTTAAAAGTTGGATGGTTGGCTGTTGACGAATGATGGCAGGCAAACCATTCCACATGGAAGGAGAGCTGTACGTAAAACATTTGTTGACAACTGATGAAATGACGACAGGTTGATGAAACTGAGTATATGAAGACGAACGATGTTGACGAGTTGATGAACAACGCGAGCCGTTTCTAGAGAGCCGTTTGAATATGTGTTCATAAGCATATATGTATGTTTGTGTGTCTGTGTAAATGCATGTGTGTGTGTATACGTCGTTCGTGAGAATTAGTGCGTGTGTATGTGTGTGTGTGCGTGTGTGTGTATGTGTGTGCGTGTGTGTGGGTGCCGTTTCAAAAATAGTGTCTAAGCAGGTAAGTAAAATGTGTCAGATTTGTCAGATTGTTCAATCCTAGCATGTAGGAGTGTGTGGGTGTGTTGAATAGTTTTGTGGAATCAAATTAAAACGTTGGTTATACAATGCCCCTGAGTAAAATACTTTTTATAGTAAGCGCATTAGAACGCCATGAACAAAATAGCGGAGATCCAATTTTAAGTAACGAGCACGGAATTCGATGTAGTAGGACAGCTTTGCTCTTTTGGCGTTTATAAAAGTGAAAAACTATTAAAAATTCTTCGAAACTATGAAATAATTTTGTAATAATATTTTTGAAAAATAAAATACACTAATATTTGCAATAATAAATTTAAAAAAAAAATATCATTTATCATAATCATAAAAATAATTTTCAAAAAAAATTTTAATAACTTTTTAAGTCAGTAGATTTGTCTCCGAGCAAAATTGTACGTTTGAAATAACTGTAATTACAAATAAATATATGAATATAAAAACAAAAACATATATGTAACTAAATACACTATATATCTATATACATGTATTTACAAATAATTTTATATTCATTTAATCATTCGAACTTACATTTACGCATTCATGATTCAAATTAATTTGTCGAGTTTGATGTTCCTGGGTGTGTGAATGTGTGTTTGCGTGTGTGTGTGTGTGTGTGTGTGTGTGTGTGTGTGTGTGTGTGTGTGTGTGTGTGTGTGTGTGTGTGTGTGTGTGTGTGTGTGTGTGTGGTTTTCCATGCGTCTGTACAACTAACTAAAAATGCTTGCCTGGCAAATGATGTAAGAAAATAAAAAAAAAATTTTTAATAATTTATTTTTTCCTCCACAATCACACAAATTTAAAAAACCAGACAGGAAAAAATGTTCTCATCCATCCATTAACTTTTGGCTGTTTTGTTGTTCTGAAACCTTTTTAAAGGCTTTTAAATCAATAGAAGTTATAAAAAGTTTTTTTGTTCTCGCCGTGCAATGCTTTCCAGGTTTTTATAGATTTTTAAAAAAGTTTACATTAAACATGTGCAAATACAAAGCACATCATACAGCCTATAACTAGACATACACATTCACACACAAACAGACAAACACACACAGGAATAACAAACACATAACACAGACATACACACACACACACACACACACATCTAACACACACTTTTAACAATTATACACTATGATGAATTATACATTGAATTAGCACGTTTGAAGTTGCAAAAATTTCTAGAAAATTTTTTTTTAAACTTTTCCAAAAGATCGCAATTTTAATGTTTCAGTTTTAGCGATAAAAAAAATAATTGTTATTTATAAACTAAATTTCAAAAAATTTTCGGAAACCATTTTTTTAAAACTTCCGCTTATACTTTTTGTTATAATATGCTTTTCTGGAAACATATTAATTATAAATATGATGAATAATAATTATAACTGATCAATTATTTATAACTACAATTTTTCTCAATTCTCTGCTTACATTTTGAAATGTCTTTTCAATTTCTTCTTCACGATTATGTTGGTTAAAGTTGCGTTGTTGTTTTTGTCATCTATTATTCATTATTTTCTTCGGAAGGCAGTTAAATTTGGTTTCAAATTTCAAGTTTTTGTTTAATTAATTTTTCACGGCCCCCTGATTCTGTCTCAAATTTCGTCTGTAAAATTTTTTCCTCCATTAAAAAACGCGAACAACAACGACAACCATAGCATATCCAAGAAAAAAACTACATAAACAACAACAACAAAACAGCAGCAACAAAACAGCTTCAACAACAAAAACATAAATAAAAACAAAAAAACCATTGTATGTGTGTGTATGTTCAGATGTGTGTGTATGTATGTATGTGTGTGTATGTTAAAACCAAAACATGATGAGTGACACTGAACCGTCAAACATCAAGTAACAAATGGATTAACACTTTGATTTGTCGTTAATTGCACATGTCGGCATTCAGTTGGATATTTTCAAGCACACAGACTCGCAGGAACCGCTGCAACAAGCACGAAATGTGGTTAGTTGCAAAAAACAGTTCCCTGCTGTCGCCTGATCTGACGCTGATCATTTTACATATTGCGTTAAGAAATTTAAGGGTGTTGGGGTCCATCGGGCCGAGAACCTCGATACATATTGGCAAGAATTCCATCGAAGGGAGGGCGTTCCCATATTTTTTCATTTTCTCGTCCGCTGCCCTGGCCGCGGCCAAACCGCATTCTTTACTTGTCAGGATTACGTATCGTTCGGCGAGGGTGCCAGGGACCGTAACAAAACATCTGCCGGCTCTCCAAGGTATTAGTGTGCATCCGTCCGGCGCCTACCATCATGCGCAGAAATGCCGGATGGTTCCTTGAGAACCGGGATTGAAGCCTTGGAGAAGAGCCGACAAATGTATTCGTTTGGCGCTGAGTGACGTAGTTGACGGCCCCCACCCAGGCGACAAACCAAACCGTGGTGCCCAAACTCGTCCGCCCCTGCGCCACATCGGCAAGTGTATTTATTCTGAATGACCAGGCCAAGTCTGAAGCCAATGGCAAATCTCACAGACTCGTCGTCAAGCCTGGTGCCCACAGAGGTGTTTGGCCACAATCTCAACCACCCACAGCTGGCAACGCTGGACATGGCCAACAAACGAGTGGTGGAAAAGTCGTCGCCGCATGAAGACAACAAATTTTGAAAGATTTTTTTTATATTCTTCGTTCAAAATTTGGACGTGCGTACGGTCTCCCGGGGCGGAGACTGGGGGAAGAATATTGCGGCAACAAAAAAACCGGTGGAGCAGGGAAGACTGCAGGTCGAGAGTAGCAGCGGCAGAAAAGTTATAAACCACGGGAGCCAGCTCAACCACGCTAAGCAACTCCAGTCCACGAAATCGCACCGGCAGCTGAGCCTGGGATCAACCACTGTCGGTCACTTGAACATTGCAAATCGACGACAGGGCGGTGCGCAGGGCTCCGTCAAATTTGCCCAATTTAGAAGGGTTAATGTGTTTGGATGTACGCAGGAAGTACATCAATTTGGGCAAACTGAGGGCATTGCGGATAATAGTCAAGGCATTATGGGCCGAAAGACAGGAAACACGACCAAGGGCGAATTTAAGCTCAGAGAGCTTTTGGTCAAAAAACTTTATTTGATAATCGCCCTCGACCAAGGGTGTGCCTAAAAAACTCAGTTCTGATGCACCAACTCTGGGTATTCCAGCCAGCGCATGTGGCACCTGAAATAAACTTTGGCAGTGAAGTTCGCATTTTTTAATGTTTAACTCTAAACCAATTGCAGCGGAGTTATGCTTCAAATATTCGTAGCTATCGGCCAGAGTTGGGCCGTCCGAAGCAATGCTGATATCATCCAGATAAGCGCAAACGAAAGTGGACAAAGCTTTCTCTAAGAGTGGATGAAGAGTTAGTGAGAACATCAAAGGACCAAGGGGATCACCCTGCTGTACCCCCTACAACCCAAGAGTGGTAGCCAAGGGAAGAGATTCCGCCATAGGCAGATCGGCAAAAATTATAGATATTGGGGCAAAAAAGTTTGACAGCCTCCAACATCGAGTCTCTTCTCAAGGCATTGAAGGCATTTTTAAAGTCCAGTTTCAGAAACCCCCATTGATCGGGGAGGTCGGTGACCAATCTTCGAACCGCATGAACAGCAGCCTCAGTGCCACCCTTAATTCCGACACCCAACTGAGTCGGGTAGAATTTGGTCTTGAGTTCGACCACGACCAGGGCCAAGGCACATTTGCCGGCCAACCTCCTCCAAACGTTCCCGACCGCAATCGGTCTTTCTTATTTAAAGCTATTAGCCGGCCTCCAAAAAAGAACCGGCGGACGGAGAGTGGGCAAGGTTCAGATAGGATCAAATTAATGAATTGGGTTAAGGAGTTCAGTGTGTCGTCGATTGGCAAAGGGCCTGAAAAAACATCCTTAAGGTGCTGGGGTCGTAGGCCATCCAGGCCTCCAGAAGAACCGTTTTTGAACGATTTAACGGCCCTCAGCACCTCGGCGGGAGAAACGCAACCAGCCGTTGGTGTCAATGCGGGAAAGACCCGCCTGTCCACCGGAATTTTCGGGTGGATGGAACATAATTTATCGAAGGTGGCCGGCGAGCTCTCCGCCAGGCCCTCCGGCGAACAGACAAGTTTGACAGCCGAGGACAGGTTTCCCTGTTCAATACAAGATTACACAGCGTTGATCCACCGATCGGGGTTGTGCTTTTGTGATTTGGCATTATTGAACCCATCAAAGCACAGTACCAGGGTTTCAAAACCAATAGTTCGCTTAGACGCTTGTTGACCAGATTGCCCTGGTTGACCCGGCGACCTCCTCTGGAAGTCTTCTGTAAGACGTATGGGACAAAACAGTGGAGTCTAACCCAGTGAGCCGGGTCACCAGGGTCATTACAAACAGCTGTCAGCAAGGCGTTCAGATCATGTGCGAACTTCTCCCTGCATGGCTTAGGGATATGGTCGTACACCGGTACACATTTCAGCACGGCCGTCATCTTGTCAAAAACACCAGAGTAATCCAGGTCAAGAGGATCACCGGAGACCGATGCGGCCGACGACCGTGTGGGCAACCCGGGCTTGGGGTCGGGTGCGGCACCGAGAGACGAAGCAGCCCTCGCGCCCGATGGATCAATATTTTCGGGACCCCAAGCATTCCTGTCTTTTTACTTTACCTCCGTTACCTCCGTGTGTGTGTGTGTGTGTGTATGTATATGTGTGTATGTGTGTTTGTCTGTGTATGTGAGTGCATATGTGAGCGCGTGTGTGTGTGCGTGTGTGTGTGTATATGTGTTTAATGTGTAAATAAATAAGTGCTTTTTTATATGATCCAGCATTCATACTTCTCATTAATCAATCAATTAGCGATGAATTTGCAAACAGGCTGTGGGAATTTGTCAGTGTAGCTGAGTGTAGCTAATCCGTTCATATGACTAACGTTTAGTTTCATTATTTTCATTAGAATGTCACTATAAAAAAATATAGAAAGGTATATTTTTACTAACAAAGCTGGATGAATTCTACTCTTTTATGCGTTTATTCATTTATTTGTTCACTCATTTATTCAGTTACTTAAGTTATGATGATGATGGTGATAATTGGGATGATGAGTGGGATGATGATGATTGGGATGATGATGATGATGATTGTTTTGTTTTTTTGAAGATTTTAACGGCACTGCAGCTCTCAAGATGGTTCTAAAATGTGCCATGATTATGATTGTGATGATAATGATGATGATGATTTGGATGATGACGATTTGGATGATAATGATGTTTATGACTGGGATGATGATTGGAAGGATGATGATGATTTGGATGATTAAGATGATGATGATTGGGATGACAATGATGATGATGATGATGATGATGATGATGATTTGGATGATATTTGAATGTTGAGGATGATTAAAAAAATCACCGGTGAATCACCGCTAAAGCCGAGAGTATGTATTTTATTATTATTATTTTTATTATTTTATTATTATTATTATTTATGTTTATTATTTTATAAACATGGATCTATGTTACTCAAGTAGAAATTGATAAATTTGAATTCTTCATAAAACATGTTGAGGTAATCAAGTGAATCAAATTAAAATATTATAAAATTCGAATTACGATTACACAAAACAAATAAACTGAGGGAGAGTTGAAGATGTTTGGAATAAGGAAAAATAATTAAACTGACTTTTTGAAAATCTAAAAATAAATAAAAAAAAATTATTTTTCTGGAGAGTTCATTAGCCTCGTAAAAGAGCGTTATATAACATCTTAGGCTTTTCATCATTCAAGATATTAGAAGATTTATAAAATCTCTTCAAATGAATGTTGAATCGAGTCGAGTCGGAAATTATCAAAAAGTAATGGAAAAATAAATTAATACAATAAAAAATCTTTTTAATAATGTTAATAGTAACAATAATAAATGAATAATTATTAATAAAAGAATAACAATCAAAATATAATAATAAACTCAAATAATAATTAACAGTTAGGTGTCAATGGCATTCACGCCCGCACATTCGCTTCAGTTATGTAGGTGTTGTTGTTTGTTTGTGTTGTTGCCTTCGTCGTTGTTGTTCGTTGTCGCTATTTTTGTTATTATTGTTTTGCGGTAGTTGCCGTTGTTGTTGTTGTTAATATTTTTGTTGTTGTTTTTATAGTTGACTAATTAATTATTAATAAAAATATCGTGAGTAAATAATTTTGTAAATCACTTGGGGCAAAGAAAACAAGGTCCTTGATTGATTGATTGACTTGGTGGAAACATGGTAAATCATGGTTCACCGAATTTGGTAAAACCAACCATCTTATAGTGTATTAAACAAAATTTGATCCATAATGACAATGTGGCTGATCAAAGACGAATAACATTCATGAAGTCCGTGTGTCACTCGTTGAGTATCAGCACATTTCAACTCTTACAAAGTTTTAAAGATCTGGTTTTGGGGAGGTCGATGGTCGCCAATGTCCTGAAAGAATAAAAAATGAAGAAAAATGAAGTGTCAATAATAATAATAATAATAATAATATTATTAACTGTAATGTTATTGCTATTATAGATATTATGATCCAGATGTAAAATAACACCTGAAGCCTGAATGTTATTATTATTAATGTTGTTGTTGTTGTTGTTGCGGTAGTTGTTGTTGCTCTTGTTGTTGTTGTGGTTGTTGTTATTGTGGTTGTATTTGGTGGTGTTGTTGTTTTAGATGTTGTTGTATTGGTTGTTGTGGTTGTTGCTTTTAATTAGCAATGAAACCTTACCTCATGAAGCCCACCTGATTTCCATTTTGTATTTGATTATCTTGTTTTGTTCAAATTCTATTTTACTCCATTCAAACTAATTTACATTGTTTTATTAACTTTTAAATTTGTTTTTATGTTGCTGAACTTTTTTACCAGTAGTAGTACTACCATCGAGTAGTGGTGCATTGTAGTAATGATGGTAAAAGTTAAAAAAAATGATATTAATAGTTTAAGTAATGGTTGTAGTAGGTAGTAGTGGTAGTAGTATTTCTGCCAGGTTCATCGGCCCTCAACGAACAGTCTATTGCACTCATTTTAAGGAGTGTGTGTGTTATATTGTGTGTATGTGTGCGTATATTTGTTTGTTTGTGTGTGTGCCTGTGTGTGTGTGTGTGTGTGTGTGTCCGGTGATAGTCTTAGATTCAATGATTTAAAGAAATCTGACACCTGACCATTGCACAATAGCCGCACAGTTTAGAAAAACTACAAATAGTAATTAAAGGCAACCCGGTTTAAATACACGCAAGAGAAGCATTAGATTGCTTAATGCTTGAACTGGGTCGACTTTATTACTGCCACTGGGTCAAATAACATATGGGGCTGAAAAAGTGCTTGTTATACAGCCATTCAGGTGAACACATACATACACACGCACACACACATGCACACAAACATGCAAATACACAGATAAAACATATGGAAAAATAGTCTTTTGTGTATATATATACTAAATAAACTTCTAGAAAATTCATTTTTTCACAATCATTTAATTATTTACTGTTTGACATTTGACATTTTTTATTTCATCAAATCAAAACAAAGAGACCAAAGAAATGATATCAATGAAAAGAAATGATCTGGAAATCGAAAAGAAATTATGGTTTTCTTGTAATGATTACCAGTGACAATTGTAAAAACGAGAGCATATTTTAAATATTTCAGTGCATGTAAACTCACATTCATATTACAAATCCTAAAAAACCAAAAATGGAATCAAAATTATTAAGTAATCAACTCTTTTACATTTTTATCAGAATGTCGTTTGTAATTATTAAAACACAAATATTTATACTTAAAACACGTAAAACATACTTATTTTTGGAAATTTAGTTAAATGACGAGTGAGAAAGAATCCACCATTTTTTGTAGTATATAATGGATTGAATAAATTTCTTACCTTTATCCTTCAAGTAATTACTTTTGAAAATTATATGGAAAAATTTTTTTGCGAGTTTTTTTAAAAAAAATATATTTTTTTTCAAATTTTGAAATAATTTTTCCAAAAAAGAGTTTTGTCTACAATATTTCTAGGTAATTTTTAGCTAAAAACTCTTCAGTTTCAAGTGGCAATACATTAAAAAGTGGTTGAAAAGTAATTACTGGATGATTTTCATGAGGATTATTATCATTAAACTGTTTCCGGCCTGCTGTGACGTCAGTGGTGATGGTGATAGTGATGTGTTGATGTTCTGGATGAGTTGATTGCCTGCGAGGGTGTTGTTGTTTATGTTGAAGTTGATGACGTCATCATTGTTGTTGTTGTTATTGTTTTTGATGTTGATGTTGTTGTTGTCGTTGTTGTACATGTCAGCTCTGTTGTTGAAAAGAAGAGATTCTAAAAGATAAATATAGTTCGGCGTTTTTTACATTAAAAAGTTATGGAAAGAAATAAAAAAAATAATTAGTTGAAAAATAAAATTAAGAAGAACGCGAAAAAATTTATAATAAAAATTATAATAGTAATAACAATAATGATAATAATAATAATAATAATAATATTAATAATAATAATAACAATAATAATAAAAATTCTAACAAAAAATACAGGTACAAATATACATAATAAATTACGTGCAATCTGCGGTTAAAAAATTTACAACGCAGGCACACGAGAAGAACAAAATACAAAAAAAAAGAAAAAAAACGAATAATTTTTAAAAATATGAAAGAACTATTTATTATAATTATTATTGTTAGTTGTAGTAGTAGTTATTGCTGTAATAGTGGAGTAGTAGTGTTGGTAGTAGTGGTGATAATAGTTGTAGTAGTAGTAGTAGAAGTAGTAGTTGTTGTTGTAGTAGTAAGTAGTAGTAGTAGTATTAGTAGTAGTAGCAGTAGTTGTAAATTTACACCAAAATGATTTACAATTAGTAACAGTAGTAGTAATGATGGTACTACAGCAATAATGATTTAATACTTATAGCATATTTTTGTAAACAATTGAAATAATTTTGTTATATACAAATGTATAAAATATTTGTTATATATAAATAATTGACAAAATTAATAAATCACAAATTTTTTTGTTGTGTTTCTTATTTCAGAATTTACGAACGGTCATTTTTTTGTTGTTTTTTCAGCTTTAGAAAAATGTTTTCGCCAGTATTTTTTTCATAATTTTATAGCCTTCCCGATTTCTTTTGCACATGCCATCTTTGGGCCTTCCCGCGTCGTTAAGTATTTCACGAATAAAATGTTGTTTTGATTATGTATGTAGGCTTGTATGTGTACCTGCGTGTCTGCTCTATGTGTGCTGTGTGTTATTATGTATATGCACACATATTAAACATTATATGCAGCATACACACATCTTTGTGTGAGAATGTTTGGGCGTATGTGTGTATGTAAATTATTAAATAAAAAAAACTATTGACTAAATAATTTTAAAAGGCTTTGATAGAATTAAATTAAATTTTTTAAAATAGATTTTTACCTTTAACTCAGAATTACGTCACTCACACAATTGATAAACTTCAAAATATGATGTTCAGTTTTTGGTCCCAACAATTTTTCAAAATGAGAGACCATTTTAGCTCAATGAACTTCAAAATGTTTAATTCGTTAATTTTCACCTGTTAAATATTTATAAGCATGATGTTCTTACAGTTTTATAACATGCAGTATACCAACTGCGTCTGAATTAAACTTTAAAACTTTTCCACGTAATGGGTGAAAATAGTTGGTTTCAGCATCCCTACCAATCAGCTATAGAAAACATGATAACATTCAGCACTAAATTATTTTTCGTTCTGACTTTTTTGAAAGGCTTGCAGTAAGTTGATAAAATACAAGTTGCTCTGATTTGAGATAAAAATAAGAGATCCCATGAGTTTCAATTGGCACAAGGACGCTAACATGTCTGGCGGATGACACTGGCAAGATCTGACAAACTATCACAATCTCTCTAAGCAGTTTAATAGGCAACCTTACTGATATGAGCAGACAGTCCAGGCAACAAACATCTTAAACGGCACATGTGTCTCACATTCTTCTCCATGCATCCTTGAAAACATTATAAATGTCCTTCAATGCGAGACACTTCAGCTAATATGAAACGACAGGCGGAAGAAATAAATGGTGATCGTTATCATGACTGTTGTTTTAATTCCTGGACTGCGCATATTTTAACTTCTGTATATTTATATATCTGGAACTAATATGTGATGGGTATCGTATATCGTATATTTACCAAGGCATCATTACGTTTTGAAAATTCTTTCTCCTCAGACATACAGACGCACAAATGTGAAGTTCTACAACGATAAAGAAATTGAGATAGTCACGGTAATATGGAATTAGCGTATCAAACCACATTGCTTCAAGTCACCTTGTCATAGAAGTAAAATAAAACAAAATCTAAAAAAAGTAGTGTCAAATTATATATTTATCGTTGTAAGTTAGCGAAACATTAATGATTTAACGGTACATCAGTCGATCAGTGATTAACAGTGTTTCCCAGTTAACAAGATCTACATCTTATGTGTTATGATTTTGTGAGATTTCATTTATATTTGTATGGACTTTTCTATGTTGCGTATGACACTCTTAAACAGGTATAAACCTAATAAGTGTACGTATTTATATGTATAAAATTTGGTATATGTCTGTATGTGTGACTGTATTTATGTACGTAAAAATGGATCATTATTTGAAAATTTGTATAGCGCCCGTTTTAATATTGGGATATTCTCGCAGGCGCTCCCAAACACTATGAAGAAAAATACATCGTAAAATAAACTTAATCGAATTCTATTATTAAATCATGAATATACTCTGAACTAAAATTCAAGTAATACATGCAATCCGCCATCATCCTATTTTTCAGATATGTCTGTCTGTCTGTTTATTTGTATATATATATGTCTGTCTATCTGTTAGTATATTTATTTGTATGTACGTATGTGTGAATGTATGTTTGTTTGCATGTATGTATGTGTGTGTGTTTGAATGAATGTATGTATGTATGTGTCAATCAATCAAATCAAATTTTTTTATTCAATAATCTCAAATAATTTATGCAACAAATAATGACATAAATGTATGTATGTATGTATGTATGTATGTATGTATGTATGTATGTATGTATGTATGTATGTATGTATGTATGTATGTATGTATGTATGTATGTATGTATGTATGTATGTATGTATGTATGTATGTATGTATGTATGTATGTATGTATGTATGTATGTATGTATGTATGTATGTATGTATGTATGTATGTATGTATGTATGTATGTATGTATGTATGTATGTATGTATGTATGTATGTATGTATGTATGTATGTATGTATGTATGTATGTATGTATGTACTACTGCAATTATTACTACTAATAATAATAATAACTTTTTTTGCCACTCAGAAAGTACAGAAAAAATTGAACAACTACAAACACTCCTGGAGGGTTGGAAAGCATTCAAAAAACGTCAACAACAGCGTCAACATCATTGATAATACAACAACAGCAACACCAACAATAATAACAACTACTACAACTACAACTACAGCAGCAAACAAAAAACAACAACCAACAATAGCAACCAACAATAACAACCAACAATAAAAACAACATTGACAATATCATTAACAACAACGACAACAACGAACAACATTGACAACAACAACTATAAAGACCAGCAAGCAACCTATTTGTTGTTACCGTTTTACAACTTGCACTACCACTTTACTACTGCAACTACACTTAAATTGTTAGAATTCTCATCAACTGTAGCAACAAAAACAACAAAGTGGTTAGAGATTTAATCAACGATCGTCATCAACAACCATTGAATAATCTTGCCACCTACTAATATTACAAGCGCAACTACTGAAACAGCATGAACCACAACAACAAAGTTAATAACGTTTATGACAACAACAACAACAACAACAAAATTAATAACATTTATAACAACAACAAAAATAATAACATTTATAACAACAACAACAACATCAACGATAACAACTATAAAAACAACAATTTTACAACAAATCAACAACACAACAACAGCAACAACACAGCAACAACATCAACAACAACAACAAGTGAGGTCGGGTACAAAACAAATAAAGCTATCTACATTTCATTACATATATTTGCGTTAGCTTAAAATCTTATTGAAACTTTAAAAAATCTAAATCACTTTCCGTACTACAAAATTGCTACAATGACTTCTAATAATAATAATAATACTTCTAATGCTATTAATTTTTCCGAACTATTTTTACTGCTCTGTTGCTATGAGGGCAACGATGGCATTGAAGTTTACTGAAGGGTGATGCAGATAAAGAGATAGAGACAATAAACATGGCGAAATTAATAACGAAACGATACTAATAATGTTACGATACTAATAACGAGACGATACTAATAACGATACGATAGTAATAACGATACGATACTAATAGCGATACGATGCTAATAACAAAACGATACTAATAACGATACGATGCTAATAACAAAACGATACTAATAACGATACGATACTAATAACAAAACGATACTAATAACGATACGATACTAATAACGATACGATACTAATAACAGTACGATGCTAATAACGAAACGATACTAATAACGATACAATACTAATAACGATACGATACTAATAACAAAACGATACTAATAACGATACGATGCTAATAACAAAACGATACTAATAACGATACGATACTAATAACAAAACGATACTAATAACGATACAATACTAATAACGATACGATGCTAATAACAAAACGATGCTAATAACGAAACGATACTAATAACGAAACGATACTAATAACGAAACAATGCTAATAACGACACGATGCCAATAACGAAATTAGAGGAGTTTGATTAATGCCCACACACATGTAATAACTACAAGAACTTTATCAGTCCAAAGTAGACATCATTAGATATTATGAAACTTTGCTTAAACAAATGATCCTTTACAACAACTATAACCACAAAAACATCAACAACAATAACAATATTGTTAACAACAAATACAACATCTACAACAGTGCAGACATTAATACCATCATCATCACAAACAACAACTACCTCTTCAACAACAACGTAAACTGCAGCAACAACAACAACAACAACGTCATCAACAGCAACGCAACATCATCAACATCATCAACAACAACGTAAACTACAACAACAACATCAAAAACAGCAACAACAACAACAACTTTGACAATTCAAGATACATCTTTCCGAAAGAACCCAAAGAAATTTCAGGACCATCACCAGATTAACCGACAAAATATTCCGACAACAAATACAAAGTATAACTACTACTGTCATCATCACCATCAACAAGAACAACAACATCATCATCATCATCAACAACAACATCATCATCAACAACCACCTCATCATCATCAACAACAGCAACCACCTCATCATCATCGTCATCGACAACATCATCGTCATCATCATCATCAACAGCATCATCATCCTTACGCAATTATCTTTAGTAACAACTTTCCACTTCAACTTTCTATATAACGAGTTATTCTTTTGGAACCATCAAATTCGTTGCAGTGATACTCTTTTCTCCCCATCAACCTGCCCATCTACAACTCTCTCTCTCTCTATCTATCTATCTATCTCTCTATCTCTCTCTCTCTCATTCTCGACCGGTTTGTTTCTGACGGATTGTTTTCACATTAGGCGTCACTCCCAAGACTCCCTCCAAAACCCGACCAACACAACACGAAAAACAAAAATAATATCATTAAAACGTAAATTTACGACTTTTGTAAAATTTCCCATTTTCAGTCTACAAATCCAAAACACTCCATCCCTATTTATAAACAAAACAAAACTTCCGGATTATTTATATTTATTATGCAAAGGGCTTCGTGTCTCGTTTGATTTCGCGAATTGAATTTTAACTAGATAAAATGACGACCAATTCCCAGAGAAGAAAACAAAAAATATTAACATTAGAAGAAAGAATAAAAGTGATAAGAAGGAGTGACAGCGGAGAAATTGCAATCCCAATTGCAAAATCATAAAACGTGGTAAAACTCAAATTCAGTGAAATGTACAGGACAGGGCTGCAACTTGTAGAAGATGGAGAAAGGTGAAAACGCAGAACGAAATTACGCTAAGCAGAGAAAATGTTTTTACAGTGACTTGAACGAAATGATGTGGCAGTGGTTTTGCGATGGTCGACTTCGAAATTAGCATATCAGTGGTCGCATGATCCAAGAGAAGGTGGCTATTGAAGCTCTGGTTCTTGGGCACAATGAATTTACGGCATCTAACGAATGGCTGTGTATAAGTTGATGAGGAGTCACAATATTCCTTCGTCTGTTCTTTGATAAAATAATTGAATTCGTTATATTTCTTCTACTAATGCTGCTAAAACAACTCAACAGTTGATTCATTTTACTGACTCATAGATTTCAAAGCATTCCAAAACATTTGGAAAATTTTCATGGTCAAATTCAAACAGAATATCTTAAAAAGAAATCATCAGTTGCTCAACCTTCACTTCATTCATTTCCCCAATAAATTAAATTTTTGAGTTAAACCAAACAACATGGCTTTTCCAGATTATATATTGTTTGAATGGAATGCAATGCAGTGCACATTTTCTAACAATAAATAATGTGTACATCTGGAGTACCTTTTTATATTTGGTTGTAAATATGCTTTCTCCACATTTAAGACTCCTCCCTTTTTAAGGCTTGATTTCTATGACATTTTCAAAGTCGTTAATAGGGAGTACCACCACTACTACTACTACTACTACTACTACTACTACTACTACTACTACTACTACTACTACTACTACAACAACAACAACGACTACTACTACTACTACTACTACTACTACTACAACAACAACTAATACTACTACTAATACTACTACTACTACTACTATTACTACTACTACCACTACTACTACTACTACAACTGCTACTACTATAGTATTAGTAGTACCAGTTGTAGTAGTGCAGTAGCCAGCTAATTATTATTATCATTTATTATTTTACTACAAGTATTAATAGTAGTTATAGTATTAGTAGCAGTAGTAGTAGTAGTAGCAGCAACAGTAGTTGTAGTCGTAATAGTAGTGGTGGTAGTAGTATTGATAGCAGAAGAGAAGCAGTAGCAGCTGAAATAGGAGTAGTAGTGGCAGCAGTGGTA